TCTGAATTGTGCAGCCTCCTGCACACCAGAAACATTTCTGTGAGCTTAATGCCTGAACTACTGTGAAAAGAAACACAACAACAGAACTCATTAAAAAATACCCACAGAGGAAGGAAAAAAAAATTCCTCAACACAGTAGCGTCTGTCTCCAGTAAACAGGGCTCTTTTCAGGCCTTGGGCTCAGACATAAGACCACTCTACCAGGGTGAATGAATTACTGTCAGCTGGGCCGCTTGTGCTTAGGTTTAAGCACAGGCATTTTACCTGCCATTTGCCAGGAGCCAAGAGCTGCTCAGGTGACATTTGTTATCCATGTGCCACATGAGCAGCAAACCTGCAGCAGTTTCCCCAGCAGCAATCACCCACCCCATGGGTCACACTGCAGGACCCCAGCCTTCACCCCCACAAGGAACATCTCTCAGAGCCAAGAACCTGTGCCTAAATGAAGCAATGCTTATCTCATGCATGCCACAGGTGTGATGTCATCCCCTCTGGCAGAGGAACCAGGATGTCTACAGCCTCCACTCCACAAAAATGCAGGAACTAAAGTTAACATGTCTCAGACTTTGTTAAAATATGGTGATAATTAAAAAACAAAATTACCACTACAAAGTTAATTCCTCTCTGAGTTCTTACAAACAAGTTTTTAATTTGCACCAAAAATTTACATTTCAGATTTCAACTCAACCAGGAATGGTACAAGCTTGGTCAGGGACCCCAGGCAGTGGCTGGTGGGTTCTGCAGGGCCTAGGGGCAGGGGCACTGTGGCTTCCCCAGAATATCACAAGCATATAATTGCCAGCAAAGCCCAGGTACACACAGGTAAGCCCATTGGATTGCTTTAATCTCTCATCCCTTGTATGAGTGTGAAAATAATCACAGTGTCAGATAAACTTCTGCTTTTTATTAAAAAAACCCAAACAAAACAAACCAAACCTATAAGGTAATTGATTGCTTTCTTCAAGTCTTTTATCAGTTATGATTAAGGAGCTATAGTAGCCCTGTTTACACAGCTCTAACAAGTCAGGACCTGCAGAACGTTATTGGCTTGGGGCCCACAACTTGCTGTCCATTCTGAACAGAATCAATCTGGAGCTGAAAACATCCCCGTAGGAAGTGTACACATCCCTGCTTATACAGGAACAGAAACAGCAATAACTTCAGGTCCTGTAAGCTGCAAGTTCAACTCACAGAGATGAGCCCTGACTTGTCATCGCTCTCAGCATGCTGGTGATGAGATCAGAGCACTTCACCAAGGACTCATACTCCAGCTTGACAAGGGACAGAGGTGAGTGTACGACACCTCACTGTTACTTGCCTCTCCTGCAGAAAGGAATCCAGAGCTCCTCTGTTTAACATGCAGTCACAGCACTGCCAATCTAAAATGGCTGATCAGTAATACTTTAATTGCAGTTTCATAGAAACAAATTGCTATTTAATTGCAATAAGCTTGTCTGTGGCTTAGCTGGACTGACAATAGGCATACACCTGGTAGTAACAGTAACAAGCATCAAGAAGGGTTATCTAGTACTGCATGTACAGGAGTCTCAGGCAGTGCCATCAAACCCAGAACACAATTTCACACGGATTAAATTTAATACCTGAAAAAAATGTATATACATAAATTTCCTAATCTCAATTTGATTTTTTTTTATTTTAATGGAGCTGTTCAGAATAGATACTTGCAAAAAGCTGCACACTTCACATACAGCTATCAGCAAAATACTTTGATAAAAGATTTAAACTGAAACGATCTTTTGAAATCACAGAATCAGGTTGGAAAAGACCTCTGAGATCATTGAGTTAAACTGAACACCACCGTGTCAACCAGACTGTGGCACTCAGTGCCATGTCCAGTCCTTCCTTAAACACCTCCAGGAGCAGTGACTCCACTGCCTTGATAGCAAGGCATACTCTGCCACTGTGTGAGTTTGGGGGCTTTTTAGTATTTACCCTAATGTTAGGTGATGCAAATTTTATCAGTGCTAACTAACAGGGAAAAAGAAAGACAAACTCAGTGCGGTTAATATTCTGAAGATGTGACTTAATTTCATAGGCTTCATTTTGTTAAGACATTCTCATTTTATATTTCATAAGATACTGCATAACCTCTTAAAATATTTAAAGATAAATCATGTAGGACTGAAAAGACAGTATCTTGTTGCAAACAGAATTTGGTTTGGAAAGGCTTAATGTCCCACTGCCTGCCAGGATGCGTAAATCTCGTAACTAGACAGCTGGATAGGTAAAAACATTAAACCCATTTAGAGGGCAATCTTTTTACAAAATTGTTTCATTAATAAGAGTGACAATTTATATGATTGAGATGTTTAGATGCAGTATAGACAGTGCATTTTATCCAGGCTCATGAGGATGATTTCAGATTAGTAATATTTCCTTTGATTCTTTTTTTAACAGCATTCATTTTTGAAAGGGAAGCTCTTACTGAATGATTATTTGACTTTTCAGCAGCACTAAATGCAGAGGGTGTATTTCAGCCTCAGTGCACCAAATGCATGTGACAAAAGGTGAACAAGTATGTGTTTTTCTTCACAGATCTCCTTAAAAAAGTGATTTTTCACATAAGGACAAATCTAAGTGTTTTCAGTAGCCTTCTGCCCACACCTACCATCCCCATTACAGCCTGTTTCATTGTGTGAAATGCCTCTGGTTTCAAGAAAGTGTTTTACCTAAAGCAAGAATACTGCTTAAATATGTTCTATTGTATATTCATAGCTCCATTAGTCCTCCTGCAATTTAGCACATCAAAGCAAAGGCTTCATCACTTGCATGTGGATTATGCTAACATGAGTGACATTTGTAATCTTATAGGTCTGCAACTTAAGAAATGCTTTTAAAGTAAGCTATTAAATAGGTAGCTGTGCTTTACAAATGAGTCATATAATAGTTTATTTAAAGCTGTTAATGAACTTCAACCTCTACATCACTAAATGCTATACTACATTTCTTACTAGAAGTTATTAGCTATCTTCTTAGCACTTCTAGGTTATATTGGACAACCAAAAATCTGTACATGTTAGATTTAAACACTGTACCTTGAGTGCTTATACTGAAAGAATATAAAAAAATGTCTACAGTCTCACTAATACTTGAATTCTATATTCATATGACTTCAAGTGTCTTTTCAAAGATACTGAAGCAGCACAATTTGCAGACTCTGAAGACTTTAATGCCAGATCAAAAAGCTTAGAAACTTATTTAAAATACCCACAAGTGCATTTAATTAAAAGTCATACATAGTGTCAGTCATTTATGTTATGCAAGAAGACTTTTGTCTTTACTGTCTGATACTGTACGTTGCTACGTTTTCTTTTCTCTGAAGTGGGGCTTCCTCAAGCACTGACGTGTTAAAAGAAAAAAATTCAGCAGCCCTCCAATATACTAGACATCATGAAGTAGAATCTGAAACAAAAATATCTGCTGTTGGTTATTTATACAGATGAATCTATAAATCAGCTTTTTGTGTTCTTGGCATCACAAAAAAAAAAAGAAGTCAAGCTTACTCCATAACCAAGCAGCTGAGCAGTGAACACATTCTAAAAACCAGAATTAAACAAAATAATGGTGTGTTATGAATGTATTAGTTTCCTATTAATATTGATTTCCCTTAATATTGATTTGCTTTAAATTGCAGCAAAGGCAGCTTTGTTGCTTGCAGGTTCCTGACTGAAGGCATACAGTGGACAGCCACAGATCCATGTTAGAATTCTTGCTAAAAACATGAAAAGTCAGATTTTTTTTTTTTCTCAAAAGTATTCTGCACAGATCTACCACTAAAGCCTGATGGGAAAAACATGCAAAATGAAGTTGTTCCCTTTGTAAGCTTAGAGGTGGCTCTGCTGCTTTGTGGGGAGGTGGTTTTTGTTTGTTTGCTTTCAGAAAACAGATCATATTTTGAGATCAGCTAGTTCTCAGAAACAGCCCAGGAAACAGGTTTTTCTTTCCTTAAGATTATCAGTGTTGAAAAGCTAAAGTCTCTCACCCCAGCAAACATAAAGTTATGTTGTTCAGATCAGAATAGCTATTGTATTCCTTTTCATGAATAGTCAATTCTAGTGCTCAGCATGAGGTACAGACCTTTCGTTGGCTTTTATTTTTTTGACCTCTTATGGTATATTCATACCCTCCTATGCTTGCATGCTCAGAGACACAGGCACATCCTTAAAACAGAAGGAACTGGAAAGAAAGACACCACAGTACCTCTGTGTGTGCTGTAATTCACTGCAAATGGGAATTCTAATGTACTTCTTGATACCAGAATTAAGAATCGCCATGAAAAAAAATATAATTTTGAAGTAGTACTCATTATCCTTGCCACAAGTAACACAGTCAAATAGTTTAGCAGAGTCTTTCTTGGCATGAGACAAAAGAAAAAATCCAAACTAAAAACCTACTTTTAAAGGTAATTGACAACTCAGGTAACGACTATGTAAGATGAAGTTGCAGAATGTTTTGAATGTAATTTTTTAAAAAAAGCAAAGCTTCTAAAACCCATACTTGGTTTTGTTTTACTTTTTATTATTTAAATACACCATACTAGAGCAAATGTCTCTGAAAATATCACAAATAAAAGATTTTTCTTCATTCAGCAAATTAGAAGTAGGTGAAAATTTCTACACAGTAGCTGCTATGAGCTTGACTTTTTTTTTCTTTTTTTTCTTTTTTTTTTTTGCCATGGGAAGTAGCAACATTAGGACAAAAACACTTACATGCATACATACATTGTATTTTACAGAGATACAATAAAAGTGTTTGTGATAGAATATCACAAAAGCCACATCTTTATCTCATGTTCAGTTTGATTGAAACACATTTCCTTACAACACTTAAATATACAAAGAGCAAATAGAATGTTGTTAAGGTAAAACACAGGGTACAAACTGGCCAGTGCCCTGCTAATTGTTAATGAGGGTAGAAAGCAGATTTCAATGTTTCTTTTAATTAGCTTCATTAGTCATCTTCCCCACCCGCCCCCCCCCCAAGATGTCCTCCGGTGGATCTTTTTTCATTTTCTCTAAAGTCTCCCATTAGCCCAGGTTCATGGAGTCCTTAATGTTCATATTCAGTCATTTTAATACACCAATAAATGTGGGAAGGGCAATCAAGAATAAAGAAGGTGCAATGGTATGGAGCTGGCATTGATGCTAGCTACAAAGGTGACTTGTCTACTTGGAGACATGGGATCCATCTGTGATGAACAAAATTTGAGATGAAGGCACGCATTCTGCATTACTCTGACCTTTTAGCAGACCTGTAAGAAATAAAAATGGGTATCTTAGCTAAATTTGAGATAGGAAACTACAACATGACTGCTTTTGTTTTTCCCTATTCACTAATCTCTTTTTTATTAGACTACTTGCTAACTGTGACTTAAGGCTTTCTACGCTGCCCATTCATACAGCTAACGTTTCAACTTTAAACAGCAAAAAGCAAACATTTTTCACAGTTTCACTACTAAAGAAAGCAGAAATGAAAAAAAGACTACAACAAGAAATGTATACTTTCTGTTAACAAATCATACAGTGAATAAGGTGGTTTTTCTGGGCCCCGTTTGAAAGGGAAGAACCATTATGCCATGCCTTTGAAGAAGCAAGTAATATGATCTTGTAATTGGAAGAAATAGTGTGTAAAGCAAATATGAAGTACAGCCAATATCCTCCCAAGGCAACTTTGGTTAATATGCTGCATTGCACAAGAGCTAAATATAGATATTTCAGGATTCCCCCCTCCCATTTAAATTCCTCATCTGGTACGTTAGTTAATGTTACATAAACATTTTAATATATGAAGTCAAACATGTGCTTTCATACTGGTGTTAATGAATTGTGATAATTAAAAGTGTCTAACTCAATAAAAATCTAAACTTTCGTGGATAAAATAGGAATGATCATCCATAGTCTTCAAATACAATCTGTTTGCAATTACCAAAATGAAATAATATATATTAGATTTTTATGGCTTTTAAATGACATTTTGCGCTTCCCAGGAAGTTCTTTTCTCACCCTTTCTCTAAGTTACTAAAAGCCTGAGGTCTATTAGTAACTGCAACCCCCCACTTTCAAGCTAATTAAAGTAGTAGAAGCTTGGAGGTTTAATTCCCCAGAGCCAAAGCTCAGTGTGAGAAAGGTAATTTGTCTGTCCAGAACAAAGATTAGGGAGCAGCCAGCAAGCATATTTAATAAATGAGCATCAAATATCTTCTACTATGGACACAGACAACACCAATTATGTAACTACAAGGGAATTGCTGAGTGATATGTAAACTAGAAGATTTTTAAGATCTTCTCTAAGAGACGTAATGTAACTCATACTTTATTTAAAAGCATAGAAGCTGAAGACAAACATTTGTTACAAACACTGCCAACCAGTGGGAAATGTACACTTTCAGTAGGTGGTAATACTGTTGCAAACAAGAAATACTACAGGAATACTACCAGTACAAAAAAAGCAGAGAGAATTCTTGACAATACAGCCCCTTCAAATGAAATGGCACACAGGACATTACAAACTAAGTCTGCACTCAGCAGGCAACAGTACCGAGTTCAGAGAAAACAGGGTTTTTTAAACTACAGGGCAAGTGATGGGAACTTATAATTTACATGTGTGAATTGCCTCAGGGAGGCAAAAGGCAGGAATGGCGAATGGCAAACAGCCCTGCGTTTGTCTCCTTAAAAAAAAAAACCCAAGTTTTTAAACCAAGTTAGGCCATGCAACCCTTCCTGCCTGCACTGGTCACCTGTAAACTGCAGCAAGACAAGTAAGTTCATCACTGTCACTTCAATGCATAACAAAAATGTGTTTTAATGCTGGGAGTATCTCAATCTCCTTGGTTAAATTAAAAAAAAACAAACCTGTGCATATTATGCTATCTCTGTAATCTCTAGTGATAGAATAACATGGAAAATGATTGATCTGTAATGCTTAATAAAAAGTATCTGTTACAGCCAACTGTGTTACAGTGGAAGAATATTTTTAATTAGTGTCCCTAAAACATGCAGCTTCCTGTAAAACATCTCTGATGTTAAAATCTTTAGACTATTAAAAAAGAAAAATATAAAACTATTAAAAAATATAAAATATAAAAAAATATATTATAAAATAGAACTCTCTTAGCAACTGCCCCTGCAGCTTCCAAAATTCCAGAAACCTGACAAATACATGAATTATCAATTTGTCTCTTTAACTGTGTTTGTTTTCTGGAGTTACGGTGCTCTGCAATTCCTTTTGAAAAACAGTAGGAGAAGTCAGAACAATTTCTAGAGATATTGTATTATACAGGAAAAACCCTCAAGCTCGTGTCCCCTCAGCCTTCTCCCCAGCAGCTGCTCGTGTGCCTCAGCTGTGGCTGCAGCAATGCCACTGCCAGGCAGAGACAGGGGCTGACAAAAACCTGCCCTCACCACTCTGCATTTAGCCCCCACCAGGTACCTGCAGCCACGAGCTCTGCAAGCCCAGTCCCTTTTACTTCTCTTTGCCATGTTCTATGTTCCTCATCATGTCTGCTGCTTTTATTGCAGCTAAATCATTTTTATGTTTTGCTAAGGCAGAGAAAGAAACTGATAAAACTAAATGACAATTTAGACACCTATTTGAAGTTACATTAAACTTTACATTCGTAGAAGACAAGTGGATAAACCACTCTCAGAATGGTAAACCTTTTACTGCAGTGTATAAAGATGAATGGTTTTACCTATATTTTGAAATGGGATACCTATAAATATTCATTTAACAGAATCACTGCTAGCCAGTCTATATTACAGATTTGTTTCATTAAAATTCACAACAGTATAAATCTATGAATCTTTAACTGTATTTGTACTTCCTTGAGAAGAGGCTGCACATTCTCTTCCAATCTTAATTATCTTTGTTCTGCCTAACTATGTAGCATTTTTGTACTCAATTCTCTCATCACCTCGATTGACAAATTAAGTAAATAAAAAAGGTCCATGCTTTATTTTGATGTAATTACATTCACTGTATAAGACTTAAAAGAATACTTAAAATTAATCAGTAAATTTATGCACAGAAAAAAAAAAAAAAGCAAACACAGATATTGAAATGTAGCAACACAACCAAAAACAAAAAGTAAAATAAAGAACAGTTTCTGTTTTCTCGGACATATTTCTCCATGGACTAAAAGCACTCCAAAATACACTGCACACTACAGAAAAGATCAGCCTAGCATTTGTCCCAGATTTTTTTTAATATTTCGAATTCCTACTTGCAGATAAATGTTATTTTTTGTGATCCTTACAGACATTAATGAAGTTCCTATTGTAAATCTATAAAGAATTACCAACTGAAGTGTGCACTTTTTGTTTCATTGCAATAACTCAGTGCTGTGTGATTGCCTGGGTTAATGATGAAAAAGTCAAATATACTATCAGAGCTGATGGAAAAATCTATCACCAATCTGAAATTAAAATTCATCTGTGGTCAATAAGATTTAATATCCATGCAAGTGGCGCTGTAAAGAGTAAATGAATCAATGTCATCAATACATAATCAGTATGAAATATGATGTGAATAAAATTATGTGCAAGAGTCATACATCCACTCTTTTCTGGACCAGGGTGGAATGAACAGTCTCTTAACTCAAGGTTGACAGTAATTGTTACAAATTAGGCACAGCAGTTATCAAAATGCACTCACTTGCATAGCTTTAGGACTGATTAAGAAGATTAAAATACATCTAAAACTATCTAGTTTCAGAGTTACAAGACAACTGTTGATCAGAATTTTTTTTTCTTCTTCTTCACTCTACGACCTGTGCAATCATCATTTACTCATTTAGCTAGAAACCAAAACTATCAACCACAGAGATACACAACCTCTAGCTGAGATATTAGTGTTACGGAACAGTAAGTAAATAGCACTTTGGTTTTAAAATCTGAGTTATGACATGCAAAACAGGCAAGCAAATACTTCTGAAAGAGTACCCCAGCATCCTTCCTCAACTAAAATCTTAATATTAAAATAAAATACATTAGCTTAGTCCAGGAACTTTCTCTTCACAAGGCATTTATTTCCATATTAAAGGATCTAATTTTCTTCCCTCAGAAACCTGCTCTCTTGTAAGCATTTAATTTCAGGATTATAAAATAAAATACTACTTCTCTTTCTTAAAAGTCTGTATTAATATATGCTCTCCATTTTGCTTTGTACATAAGGAGTTCAACACCTGTACAGATGCACGTGCCCAAACCAAAATGAACTGACTCACCCTGTATGTCATATTTAAAAGGTTACTATTTTCTCCCCCAAACCCTGTGCCTAAATAACTTAAGGTAAGTTCAGCTACTTAAAGGTCTCTTTGCAGGGGCAGGGAATGTCCACTATTAGTATGAAAAGAAATTGATCTTCATTTAGCTCTAAGAAAGCTTATTAGTAATTGTGGAGTATTCACCTTCTGGTCTGGCAGTAGTGGATTACTCTGAAGTGAATTCAAATGGCCATTGATGAGAGCTGTAGGTCTATCATGTTCACAAAATAAACTGCCATTGATGTAGTGAAACCGATCTCCGGGGACCAGGCGATTCCGGCAGGTAGAGCATGTAAAACACTGGGAAAAGAGAGAGACAGCAAGTGAAACTACAGCACAAATTAAGTATGCTGCAGGTTTGAAAATTACACTTCAGAGACTGCAAGTGCAGTTGAGATATGGAGCTGCTTGGTTTCTAGTATCTCCAAATATGGCATTAGTCTTACCTGTTGGGACTACGCAGTACATAACTCAAGCAGAGTTTTAGCGATTACGAGGGAACAAAGCTACGCACTAAGCAAAGCTTTATAATGGATACTCCTTCTTGTAGTTATTATTTTGCATTTCATTCATAAGCAGATGCAGGTTATACACTAAAGGGGCATGGCAACACTAATCAACTGCTAAAAACGAAAGTACACAGAAAAAAACCCTCACCTTAAGATGATAGACATTGCCCTGTGCCCTCATGACCAGCTCACTAGCAGGAATGGACTGTCCACAGGCACTGCAAGCACCACTATTTCCAAATAACCTGAAACAGAGGTGATGATCATGAATAATTTAATACACAGAAGGCTCTAGGCATTTTTGCACATCACTGCCACGGTTTATTACACAACTATTTTAGACTTCTGACCCCCATCTTCCAACTTGCTTATGTTTCATAATATGAAAAAAGTTTATTTTTGTGTAACAACTGGTAGCTTCACCTTACCTTGGATGTGGTTACACAGGATTTAATCAGAAATATTGACTTACACCTCTAGAAACACAAACAATTCTGTACTACACACATTTTATCAGATTACTGGGTTCATCATAAAAAAAAAAGATACAATTCATGACTGGAGTTTAAATGCATTGTGTCCTTGAAATTATATGAAGAACTCTTTTGTACTTTAATCATATCTTGAGATATGAGTCATCAAAAGGGTTAAGAGGATTTGATTGTATATCTAAGAAGACATCATGCTCAGTGTATTGAAACTCCAGTAAACCTCCATCAGTGCAGAGTTTCCATTAGAAACTCTCTGCTATCCAGGTTGATATATAATGTGTATGGGTTAACCTTTTCAATCATGGTGTCAACACTTTAGATTTGCCTCTGCTCATCTCTTTCATCCTAACCTTCTCTCTCTCTTGATAATGAAATGCTTGCTCCAACTTCCCTCTATCTGCTCCTGAGTCCACAATTTAGATTACTTCATCTCTGCTAGCAACAAACTGAATGAAATTTCGATTTGAGCAGAAAGTAATTTACCGGGATCTGGACCCATTTGTCATCATATCTCTCTGGGTGTTTGCTGTATCACTGCAGTTTTCCTATGCAATCAAATGAGACCACAACATCTGCCATTGGGGGGGGGCACACGCAGTGGGGGGAGGGGGAATAGGCAGAGTGGTGAAGAAAAATATATACATAATTCTTCAAATCCATTTAAAGGCACAATGCATCGATTCAAAATATAATACAGTAATGATTATTGAGTTCTACTTTTACAGGCTGCCTTAGCTAGAATTAGAAAAACCTTTATTTGCTTTTGCGCAAGTCTCTAATAGACACAAATATTTATAAAGACTACCACAATTCATTTTGCAGTAAAAAAGGAAATTGAACTAGCTGGCAGGGTCACAGACCCACTTTTCTGTACGATGTAAAACACAGCAATAGGATTTACAAATTAGCGTATTGGTGTCATAATAAATATTAATATTTGCATCTCCTTCCTGTCCAAATAAAGTCATAAAATTCTGTTTGTGTCAACCTAGGACACACATTACAACAGAATACCCGTAATCTGAATGATTGCGGTGTGCCTCTGTATAAAAATAATTGCTTTGAATTTTCAGAATCTGAGCTTGCAGAGGAGGCTTGTCATGTTCAAACTACTAATTTGCTGTCGCCACTTTATTGAAAATAGCCTGTAAGTTGTTATTAAATGTATCGACTGAACGACAGAGAGAGTAGTAAAACTGCCCCTTAAGATGGCTTTTAATAGGAAGCTGAGAAACAAATTTTGCAGCAGCATCGATTTGAAGAGTTCAATCAAAACTCCATTTCAAAACTAATTAGTCTGAGATCCACGACACATTGACACGTTCTTGCAGAATCACAGCGGTTACAAAGGGAAAGCTGAACTAATACATTGTCAGGACCTCCCCGCCAAAGGGACTAAACTGTCTGGAAACTAAAGGTCCATTATTAGGGCATCTTCCAAACCAGGACCAGTTCAGAACAGTTACATGATATACCCAGATTAGTTCCAAAGCATTGCAATATGCATTTTCCTTCCTTCATCCTTACTAGGAATGAAGTTGGCACTAGAGATTGCACGGGAAAGGGCTGTGAGAGGAGGCAGAAAGGCACTGCTACAGTTTCCAGAGCAAAGATCCAACAATCCAGAGTAAGGAGGCGGCAGCAAGGGCATTGCTGGGTAGAAGGGCAAAGATGGACAGATGTGTCAGTCGTCCATCTGAACGTGATGAGCTGTCTCCTACAACCCCCCCTCTTCCCCCTGTACAATTGCACCACCCAACTGAAAACACAGCTTTCAGAATGCTGATCTCATTGCACTGCTTGTCTTCATTAAGCATTCGTTATACTATTCTCTCTGAACTAGAGTGGTCCCACACCTTGAATGTCTGTGAATTCTAATAAATGGAGTCAAACTAATCCCGAGGCTTTCCACATTTTAAGTTTTCCCCAGGCATGTTCCCAGAACAACTCTACTCTGGGAAGCCACTTCAGCTGAATCTTCTGCTAAAATTCCTAAAAATTACTTACAAACTCAGAACAACTTTCCGCTGCTTATTATTATTTACCAACAAAATTAAAATTATTTTTCCATCTCTACTGTTATGAATGGTTTTGTTCTGTAATACCATTAACAGAAAGAAGTTTTATCTTTTAAAAAAATGTTTTTGCTTCTTACTAGCAAAGGAAGTCTTCCACATTAACTATTCTTTACTGAAAAAGTTGTTTTGCATGGTTTCTGGGAAGCTGGAGAGCTAATTATCTAACCAGGGGGACTGTCCAGGACAGTATTTGATTTAAAAGGCTTGAGGCTTTAGGTGCTCAATTAAGTAGCTATCGGTCTCAGACTGGACTTTAATGGGCTCTTTTCTCTTTAACTGCAGCAATGGGTAGAGATACCCCAGGTCAGGCTAATTAAAGCCAGGGGACTCTTTAATTGTGATGACAGAATTGGTTTCAGTTTCCTCTTTGGGTCCTCAGTCCAAGAAGGTCATTAATATTTCAACATTTGGGCAATGCAATCAATCACAAACATCAAGAGGTTCCCTTTATGGACAAGGCAGCTCTTCTACACTTAGCAGCATTTTACTGAGCCACCTTAAATTAACTACTGTGTGGTTCCAACACAGCATTCCCCACAGTTCCAAATGCTTCTGGGTTTTTTTTTGCTGGTGGGGTTTTTTCGGAACTTTCTGTAGGAGAGTGGAAATGAAAGCAGCAAGAAATCTTCTCAACCCAGTTTCCCATCTTGCTGCTCAAAATTCAGCATCAGCAGAAACACGTCTCTAGCAACTTGTACTAACAAAGTAAGGTTCCACTGCTTTCCAAAATCGTGGAGACAGATTTAAGCACTCTTGATTCTTGCACGACATGGTGCACATTTGTGTCTACATGCATATATCCAAGCCCTAGCAAAGAGAAATGCACATCCAGACCTACTGATCCAGAAGGAATCAGTGTTTTTGTACATTCCCCACATTTAATCTACATTCTGCACCAGCTATATTAAATGTAACAAAGAAAGGCAACACAGAAATTATGCCTGAAGCCAAGTCCATTAAAGGTACTTCAGAATAACTAGAGACCAAGCACCTTAAAAGCACCAGAAGCTATTGATACTTAAAAGGGGGGCTGTGCATAATGGCAAGTGCTGCATTAGAGAAGAGGAAGAAAAAAAAAAGGGGAAAAAAAAAAACCAGCCAAATTACGCTTGGTTAATTCAGAGTAACAGATCTGCCCCCAAGTGAATTGGAGGCCTTGAATTAATTCTGTTATGACAAATCAAGATAAACGTTCCCCCTAAATTGCATGCGATTTAATTAATTTTTGAGATCCTGTTTTTTTCTTTTTTTCCTAGCTAATAGTTCACATGCTCCTGTGCTGTCATTGTGCTTGAGTGGGCAGACTTCAAAGTGATATTAAATAACCAACTATTAGATTTACCTAGCACGTCCTATTGGAAAAGTGCCATTTAATTACCTAGCCTGTTCAATTAAAGGGACAGCATTCCCTGAATATAGCAGCTTGCCGCTGATTACCAGGGAAATGAACTGGCTGCCCGGCGGCCCCCTCCCCGGAGCGGCCTCGCTGCGGCGCGCCCGGCTCCGGCCGCCCCCGCCCCCGGGGCTGCGCCCCCGCCGCGCTGCGCGGAGCAGCCGCCCGGGGAGGGGCGCCGGGCGCTGCCCCTTTAAAAGGCGCCCGGGCAATCTTCCCCTCTCCCCCTTCCCCACCACTCCCTGCTCTCTCTTAGAGGCCAATTTTGTTAATTAAATGTTTTGTTTGCGACGCGGCTCTCATTCATTTCGGACACGTCATTCCGAGCAGATCTAAGCCAGCGACCAGATCTCATTAGATAAAACCCATCAGAACTAAGAGAAAATGGAGGAGACACTAATTAAAGCTTTTAATTGTGCGGATTCGCTGCCACGCTGCTGCTTTATCTGGCATCTCAAGGTTGGGAGGGCTGCGCTCCACTCCTCTCCCTGAGCGCGTTGCTCGCCGTGGGGAGGGAAGGGAATGGACCGAGGTTTTCACCTCCCTCTTTTCCCAGGAACCTTGGCCTTCAATGAAAGCTGCAGCTGTAGCTCTACGGCCAATTTGTTTTCGGATTTTGGGGGGAGGGAGAGGGAGGGAAAGGGGAGTGTTGTGTTGTTTAAGCAACAACAAAAAAACCCCACATACAGCTAAAAAGCTCATTAATAAATGGCCCTGCGGTCCTGGCCCGAAGGAGTCAAGTCCCTTTCACCTGGCGCCTGCCGGGCCAATCAATCCTCTCTCCCATTTTGCCAGTCATGTCCAGCGTGCCCCCATCTCCGGCTGAGAGCTGCGCTGTGGCTCTTGCCTGGGAAGAGAACGCGCCACCACAAAAGCCCGCCGGAAAACTCAGAGGGGAGAAGGATGGCAGAGGGGAACCAGAGAGACTCGCTGTCAGTGGCACTGCCTCCACAACCAAATGGAACCTGAGGGCTTCGCTCATGCCAGCGTGACCCACGAGCAAGCCCGCAAAGTCCATTTCCAGCGGGAAAGCTCCAAGTTAACTCAGCCCTGGCAGCGCCAGGCCATCCTACCCCACCTTGAGTGTACAGTGTCCAGTTCAAGTTTCAGCAAGCATCTGTCAGAGTTATTTTTGCAAGTCAAATTACACAGATCTAAGGAGAAGTCAGGCGACAGGACAAGGAGATCAACTGAAACCCCTCATCTGATAAAGCATCCTATTCATAATTGCCTACATTAAAATAAACGAGTATTAATTTTTGGCAACACAAAACCAGAGGACTGTGATAAGCTTGCCTGAACTTGCCTCTGGGACACAGTGGACGCATCTTCTCTTTTTAATTAGTAGCAATCAGACACGAGGGTTTGTTTGATGGTGTTGGTCGAGTGATGAATCTGTACTATTCAGTGCATCTTAACAGTAGTGTCAATTTTTCCACTTCAAACAAGATTCCTTCCCTTACACTGTTCTGCTCTATTTAATTACTATTCTGCCAGACTTAGGCTTGTTGCTTAGGACGACGACCAAAAAGCACCACTGTGCACCCACTATGTGCTGATTTTTTAGCATTTCTCTCTAAAAATACCTCTGAAACTAGCAAAGGTAAGGCTTCGATTGCTCAGACATAGCACAGGACCTGTTCCATGTACTTCACTACACAAAGCCACGGCCATGTACCAGGTCAGAGACTGCACTATCATAGTAACTAAATCCTAACTCCATCCTCTTAACTACAGAGGTCCCTGTGCTCAATCCGCATCTTCTCAAACCTAAGTTTTACAACATAACCAAACTTGTAACATTTGATGGCTGCTTTTGGTAGGTTTTTTTTTTTTCTTCAGAAAGGAAAAAAAGTGGCGCTTTTTGGCCATCAGAAAGAAAGGAAGTCCAGGGTTAACTCTTGACATTTACTATTAATGAGGAGCCAGAAGCATTTAAACAGAACACAATTTGTTTTAACTAAGCATTTCTGTGATGCCGGGAAGGTATGGGGCTTTTTTGTTGTTTTTTTTAATTACTGAATGTTGAAACAGAACACCTCCTTGAAGCATTCATGTGCATCAGTCTATCAAACCATTTACTCAAATTAAATGTGTAATCCTTCAAAATGCCTCCTTTTAAATTAATGAGTTTAAGTAGCTTGAGTTCACCTGAAAAGATCGTACGGGCACCTGACCTCATGAATTCTATTAATTATATTGGAAACTTGTTGGAAGGGATACTCTGCATAATCTTACTGTACCCCAACAGATGTGAGATTAGTGAGGCTTAGTTCCCCCTACCCAAATCTGTGGCATTTAAAGCAAACAGCTTCAAAAGAGGAAGAGATAAGAAATAAAGGGCAAGAGCGTATACCTCCTCTGCTATCTCCTGCATTGTCTACACTCGAAGTTAAGAGAAATATCAGTTCAAAGGTTCTCTGTAACAATGCTGAGACAAACATCATACTACTGGTTTTTTGCTATAAGTAGAATCCATGGCCCTCCAACTGATGGTTAATCAGTTCTTTCACAAGGAGAACAGAGAATGAGTCATTCTGTTTCCACTCAAAGGAGTTTAAAGGTGCTTATGTAAATATCATAATTAATCAGATACTAAAGGCAGGCATTTCATTATTTAGCACCTCTGCCACAGCCTTATTTAAGCCCTACGATTTTAACATTTACTGTTCAGATATGCACACTTCTCCTTCAACACTACAACAAAGCAGATTAATTTAGCCTCTCTGATTGCTGTTTATTTTTAGTTAGGACTTGTTTTGTGCTGACAAACCACTTTAAAGTTACAGTCGTCGTTCAGCCCCCCCAACTCTTTCCTCCACTTGGCAGTCGCAACTCGCCCTGGGCTAGGCGCTAACATCCGCACCCGCACGTCTCTCCCTCCTAAGGAAGGAGCCATCCTGAGCCAGCCCACCCCTCTGCCCTGCAGACACCCACCACGAGAAATAAAGGGGGGGAGGCGGGAGGGGGAAGAGAAAAATGGAAAAAAAGGCAGCAGGAAAAGGGGAAAGCTGTCCTCACCAGCCTGGCCGTCGCCTCACCTGATGTAGTCGTTTCTGCAGAGAATCATCCCGCTCTTGGTGTAGCAGGAGGTGCCGATGTCCCCCAGCTGGGCCTGGCAGCAGGAGCACTTGAGGCAGCGGCTGTGCCAGTAGCTGTCCATGGCGTAGAGCAGGAAGCGGTCGGCGATCTTCCCCCCGCAGCCGGCGCACCTCTTCCAGGAGAGGGAGCCCGCCGTGACCGGGGGCGGCTGCGCGCTGCCGCCGGGGTTCACCATGGCCTGCGCGGAGAGAGGGGCGGGGGCGGGTCAGCGCCGGGACAGAACGGGCCGGGCCGGGCGCAGCGCGGAGCCAGCGCCGCTCCGGGCCCCGCGGGGAGCGGCGGCCGGGCCGGGCCGCGGGGCGGGGGCGCGGCCGCGCAGCTGGCGGGAGCGGCGGGCGCGGGGGGCAGAGCGAGCGCAACCCGCCGCCCCCCCGCCCCGGGCCTGTGCAGCTGCAGCTCACAAGTCAGGAACAGTCCCGGGGTTTGTTTTGCTTATGAAAAAAAGTGTGTGAAGAGTGGAGGGGAAAAAAAAAAAGTTGTGAAACTGGTTTTTCAGTCTAGGAGAGGCTCCGCAGGCTCGGGGCGGTAACGAGGGGCTCCGGACCGGCCCTCGAGGCCTTGGGATTTTATTTTCTGTAGTTTTATTTTGGAGAACTAAAAACACCCCGAGAAAACACTCCAGATTGAGAACACTGGCCCGAATAATAGATCATTGAACTTCAGGACGCCTGTTAACTTCCTACACAAACATACTCAACTTTTGTCTCGCTAATCTGCCCTTGATCAGCAGTTTAAATGCTAAAGCTTTGTTACCAAAAAAAAAAAAAAAAAAAAAGGAAAAAAAGAGAAAAAAGTTTACCGACCCTAAGAAAGCAGTAGAGTAATGAAGTGAATCGCTCCGGCTGCGGTTGCTCTGGCCGCCCCCGAAACTGCTACTAAGGGCATTTTTCACTTTCTAATAAATGCTTTATGCAAGCAGGACAACCGAGAGATAATATAGGAATCAATTCATAAAGCTTACTCTAAACCGATTAATTTGTTGCCTTCAATCCAGGGTCCAATAAACTCCCGGTGTTCCTCCAGTCACTTATACTATAAAAAGATCAAGTTATTTACTGCCAATTAAGCAGCATGTTTTGTCTTTGTCCTTTGTAAGCCGTATGTGCTCATGCCGAGGCATCTGGCTATCTGCTAAGGACCTTCAGACTGATACGTCCAGAGCAGCGAGGACGAACTTTTCCTGACACTGGCCCAACTCGGCTGCAGGAGGAGAACTGAGGCCGATTTAAACACACATTTCCTCAGAAAGAGTACCTGGAGGTATGTCCAGTGACCGCACAATAAACCAGGAGAACTGCACCAATTAAGCTGTAACAAAAACCCCGAGACTTTGGAAAGAAAACCACTCTAAAAGCCATTAGCATTGCATTTATCCGAACGCATCGTGTACCTTTATGTAAATTGATTTCTGATGCATTTGTTCAAGGAATTGCCTTTTGTTACAGTTTCCAGCTACAGCCTAATGAATCTGCATTTCCTGCTCCGAGTCTTAAAACCGTTCTCCTATGCTTTAAATCACTTCGGATTTCTTAAAAGAAAGAAAAAGGCTCCATGCCACCACCTTAACCTGTCTTTGTCGAAGACAAATATGTATAAATATAAAATGGGAAACGTTACACTGAGAAAACCATCCAGTAACCCCATTAAGCTAAAGCTCTTAAGGACAAGCAATACCTTAATGCTGATTAAATCTAAAAAGATGAATCAAGAGGACTGACCAGAAAGTGACTCCCTTGATAACTAAGGACGGGCCCTCATCAAGTTTCATTTAGAGTTGGGGGGGGGAAGCTTTTAACTTAAATAGGCTTACTCTAGTAATTACAGAGCCAAGCAATTTTGGTCCTGGGATAGGAGTCAGTGAAATAGAAAGCAGAGCTAGAAGCTAGAGGCAAAATACCCCCCTTTTAACAGCGTCTCTGGTGCTTTTTTAATGGAGACCAAGGGAGGGACAAGCGGAGAGCTGGAAATTTGTAGTACAAAAATGGATGCTTAATTCATGTCTTGGTTTTAATTAGGTGATTCACCGATTTTCTCCTGGATTGAAACAAAAGACTGTGTGTGGGGCAGGAAGGGAACCGGAGAGGAGAGAAATAGAGAGCTCACTTTGATCTTTTTTGCCACTGTTTCAGAACAGTGTTTACTACAGGGGAAGCGGGTGCCCCAGCCTCCCCCCACGCACCCCCCCGTCCCCTCCATTCACAGCCGAGGCAGGCAGAGCCCTTTCCCGGCGGCAGCTGGGAAGGGGGGTAAGGGAAGGCGCTCCAGCGGCGGCCGCCGCCAGGCTTTGTACGGGAGGCCGCGACAATGCCCGGGGTCCGCGGCTCCGCGCCCCTCCACCCGGCGGGCAGCGGGACGGCGGCGGCGGGCGGGCACCGCGCACACGAACGCTGCGAGACACGGGGGAGCGACCGGCACTTCTTACCTGCTTCCCCTCTATATTGCAAAAGGCCGGGGAGCGCCGCTCGGGGTGCCTGAGGAGATCTTCTTGCAAAGAAATAAGCACAGCGCTCGCCCTCTCGCCGGCTGGAGGGAGCCCCCCGCCCGGCAAGGGGCAGCCCAGGCTGGAAAAATATAGATATTGCTATGAGAGGCGTCTGCCCGGATCCTTCCTCCAGCTCCCGCTTCCCGGGAGGGGAGCTGCAGAGCTGGGTCCCCGCCGCTGAGCCGCACACGCAGGGCGCCGCCGCCGCTCGATGCTGCAATCGCCGGGCAAGTTTGGCAATGTGGCTTCACTTTGTGCCGCTTCCCCCCCGCTCCCCCACCTCCGCCCCCTCTCCGGGCTGCGGCGGCTCCCGAGCCTCCCGCGGCGCGGAGTCGGCCGGCCGCGGCCCGCCGGAGCGCCTCGGCGGAGCGGGCGGGAGCGGCGAGTTTGAGCGGGGCCGGGCGCGGAGCTGCTGCCGGGATCCTGCGGCGGCGGCGGGGCGCGGGGGGCGGCCCTTGTGCCCGTCTAAGCGTGAGGCTGCAAGTGCGTGTGTGCCCGCACGGTGCGCGTGTGCCCGCTGCCCTCACACATGTGTTACTGACAGAGCAGAATCCCAACTACACTCCGGCTCGGCGCCCTCGTCAGCCCGCCGCAGCCAATCCGCCCCCGGCTTGTTCAGGCGGAATAATAAAACCTGCCAATCCCCGGGAAGACAAAGGAATGAGTGAGAGGGGAGGAAAAAAAAAAAAAAAGAAAAAAAAAAAAAAAGAGAGAGGGAGGAAGGGAGGGGGCGAGGAGGAGGAGGAGGGGAATGGAGAGGAAGGAGGGAGTCAGGTGGGCAGCGCCAGCCGCGCCGGCCGCCCGGGCGCTGAGGGGAGGCGCGCGACCGTGAGGGCACCGTCCGTCCCGCCTGGCCCCGCCCGCCAGCTCCCGGCCACCAGTTGAGAAACTTGGCGGCGAGGGGTCATCCCGCTGTCCCCGAGGGCAGGCCCGCTCCGCCCGGGGAGCGATGTCCGTCGGAGCCCTCCCCGGCCGCTGGGCGCTTCCCCCGCCACCGCGGCCCTGCCGTGCTGGGGGAGGTGCCGAGGGGAGGCGCGGCCACAGCAGCCGCTGCTTGCCGCCTTCGTGGCGCCCCCCGCTGCCGCGTCCGGCCCCGGTGCCCGCACCCCGTCCTGGGATCCCGCGCTGGGGCGGGGAGAGGCGGCGCGGGCCGTGCCCGGCTCGCCCTGCGAGCGCAGGTGCCGTGTCCAGCCGCCTCTGCCACACGTTCCCCGCGGGAGCTGCGCTGCGGGACTCAGGCGGGCACGGCCCGCGGTGGCCGCCCCAGTGGAGGTTTCGGTGGGTTAAGCAGCCGCAGTTGGCGGCGCCGCTCCTCAGCAGAGCAGGCAGCTGCATTTCTGAGAGAGAAGCCCGGGGATGACGGCAAATCGGAAGAAGTAATGTTCAGTGGGAACGCTTAAAACTATGAAAAACCCACTACGTATTAACTGCACGCCTGCGAGGCCTAAGTGCAGCACACAGGATAAGCACAGCCGCGAATCGCTGGAACACACCCACCCCCGGAATAACACAGAGCTCCTGGATGCGGGTGCTGTCCGCGGCGCAGCTCCGCGCCCGGCGATGCCCGGCACAGGGGACACACGGCCCTTGTCACCCCCCGCTCGCGGCGGAGCCCCCTCAGCGGCACTGCCGGGATCTGTTAATGGACAGAAAAACTTGGGAGCAGGAGTTTCTCGATTCCAGAGCGCTGACGTAAGCGCAGCCAATGCAGCGCCCGCCGGACGGCAGCAGCGCTCGGGCCCCGCTCGACGTGAGCCGCGGGCAGGGCAGGGCAGGGCGGCCCCGCCGCCCGCGGGCTCGTTCGCTGCTCTGTCAAGTACGTGGTGGTGGCAGCGTGACCGAGCTACGAGTTCCGTGCGCCCCCCCGGTGTCCGAGACAACAAGATATTTTAAACCTGCCCCTGCCGGCGGCTCACGCAGACGCGGTGCCCCGCACAGGTACACGGAACTCTCCTGGGAGTATTCCTAATGACTGAGCGCCCCGGCGCAGGAATGCTGCCCGCCCGGGGACAGCCTGGCGGTGAGCCCGGCCCCGCAGTCGCAGCCCAGGTGTGCTTTATCCACATCGCCATCTGTGGGTCTCCCGCAGCCCTGCAGCCCCGGCCTGGGCTGGGCACGGAGCCGTGTGCCCAGCGATCATTTAGAATTGAAAGGAAAATCGTCTACCTGGGAGAAATGTAAATGGGAAAGCGTAGGATAGCGAAGATACATTTTGCTTCTAAATATATAGAAAATAAAATATCGACATTTGAATGGCACCATAGGTATGATTTAAACACGGGAGAAAAATCTATTTCTATGTTCTTCCATAGACTGGGATATGTTCAGAGTCTGCTTAAAGCATACTTGGGATTCATTCAGACTTGGGAATTCATGGAAAGCTTCCACAGGGAAAGGGGAGAGGACCAGTGTTGTGGTTAATTTTTTTTACCATAGGTCTAGAAATATATCATCTGGATGTAATCTCCATGTACATATTACATTTGAACATACTCAGCAGTTTTAGATTTGTTATGTAGGATCTGGTACAATTTAAAATATATAAAGCAACAAGGCATGCTACAGATAATCAACAATCACTGATATTTTAGCTCTCTGACAGTTAAGAGCACAAGAACAGAGCAAATGCCAAGCTCAAATAAAATCTACATTGTCTAATTATCTAAGCCTGTAATGGCTGGAAGCTACCAAAATCAGACTCTGGGAGAGCCATTAGGACCTCTCCTTATTGGAAAAGATATTCTACCAAGAAACTCTGCCATAGGCACTAAAATGTTTACTAGTCTTAAAAATGAGGGTGATACAAAAAACAGGAATTACCTTCTCAAGGAGCAGATTTTTAAATGGCTTAATGATGTCTTCCAAATTGCATTACAATGTTCATATCTTTTTCTGAAATCTGATCATCACTAATTTTTGTGATTAATTTTAACAGAGGAAACCTTAACTGAGAGCATTTTGCAGAGCAATATTTTTCTAATTTTTCTTTTGTGCAGCATCTGCTGTTGCTGTGCTGTCATCTTCGTTATGTTTTTCATTGTCTATGTGCCATAATGTAATTAGTTAGTTCAACATCATCTGTGCTATTAGATGAGATGTTTCTATGGTAAGTTAACATAGTTCTGTGTAATTGGTAGATTTCAGCAGTAGGCATGAATGTATCCATCAACTTTAGGTCGATTTGAGTCCACAAGATTTAAATTCACTTGGCATACGTTATCCTAGAAGACTGTTAATTTTGGCTGAATGGATAAAAAACACAATGCAGAAGAAAATCTGGCTGCTTATGTTGCGGTGCTGTTGGAGTCAGGGAAGGGAAAGCATAAAATTGCTGGCTTAGTAGTTGCAATCTGAATGTCTGGAAAATGTTACAGCCTGGGATCCAAATAATTCTTAAACCGAGATGTGCCCCTAAGATACCAGGTAGTCCGGAATTCATCACTTGTCTCTCCATTCAGGGGAAGAGTCTTGGTTCTCTCCCTAAATACTGCATCCCTATGGGACCTCTAGGTTCTCTCCCTGAATAGTACATACCTAAGGGACTTCCTTTTCACATTAGGGAGAAATGTTGAGGCTGCTGCTTTGAGATCTTCCATGTGGCACTTTCCTGATCCACATGTCTTGCAAGCTACACCTTTTGAACAAACAAACTTCTAAAACAAACACTCTGACCCCAGTCTGTCCAGAAACAGTGATGAAAAATCAACAGCCATTCCTTACTTAAAAGTAATGCATCCTTTTACTCACATAGGATCTTCTGGTTCAAGCCTCAATCAATTTAAAAATGTGACTGGATAAAGTATTTAAGTCGGATATCCAGTGATATGGCAGAGTCACATCCTGGCAGAAGCTGGGAAGAATCCTGGATGGCTTCACTCTTAGCATTCTTTTCGAAGCAGTAGACAGTACTGTTTGCCCAAAAGAGTAAGATAAGTTACGTTTAGAAATATGTGTATAGATTTTGACTTGCTTATAAATATATGAGTAATTTTATTTACAGGAACCCAGAACCATGGGAGGTAATTAGTAAGCACAGTTTGCTTAGGTAAGGGCTTGCAAGACCTTTTATCATCACTGTATCTATAACTTAGGACAGGAGCCAAATAATATAAATGTCAGTAATTACAGATATATATTTATATTAACAATAAAGTCCACTTTTGGAAGAGCTAAGGCTGTATTTGTAATGACGTCATATGGCTGAAATCACTTCACCAATTTGTCCTGTGCACATTTCTGTCAGGAGAAATTGATACATTACTGCAAGCCAGTAGCAGCAGCAAGTTCTGCAAGTGGGTTCTGTGACTACAGGCAAGATATCAGACCTTGACATAACATATAATTTTTGTTTAAAATTAAAACTCTTGAAAGGCCTCTAGAATATGTGTATGTAATAACAAGTTCACTCACTACATTAAAAAAAATTGGAAATACTATGTGAATTTTGAAAGAGGGCTTTACATTCCACAGTCCATAGGAATTTTTATGGCAAATCAGTTAACACTGATTTGCTACTCTTAAACATATACTGACAATTGATTTTTGTGGTGACATATCTGTAGTGATATTTTGTCTCAAATATGAATATTTTTATGATTCATATGTCTCCATCTTTAACAGGGAAAAAAGTCCTTTGACAAATACCTAATATAAACTCATACAGAACTTACCCTTTGGGGTAAAAAAGTGTTTTCTTCACAGATACTTTTATAGGACTGCATTAATATATTGCCTCTCTTCACTAGTCACTGTAACAAATGGAAAGGTGGGAAAGCACAATTTGGTGCTGTTTGGAAGGCCCAAATTATAGGGAAAGGTAGTCACTGAGCTAATTGAAATTTACAGTACAAAAAAGTTCTAGTCTGGAAAACTGGAAAGGAATTACAAAAATAAAAATCTGACTCAATCAGCTGACCAAAATGCACTTACCTAATGCAGAGGTACATGTTTATAACATTATCATTTATGCAATGTGTTGCAGTGAAAAATGAAAACTTAACTCTAGCATGTATTATCTAATTAATTAGCCAAGTAACTTTAAATATGCAGGAAAAAATAGTATATTATCCTTGAATGAATAAATAGCACATTTAATATTTTTTCATGGTGTTGTCCACACAAAATACCTTTATAATTGCATTGAAATTATTTTCAAAGATGTGTGTCCAGTAGCAAATCCTGTGTAATTAGAATATCTGTCTGAGTGTATCCAAGAAATTAATTATTTACATGTAGCTCATTGCAGTGGAGGAGTATGTCTGATATCTTTATGAAGTTCCCATGACCTCTGAACAATGCTGTAATGCACAGAAAGGTCCATGACCAATGTTTTCTGCCTATTTTGCTCCTATCCACAGAGAAGATGTCTGTCTTGGGCTGCAGTAAACCAATGGAGGAACATTTGCTCGAGCTGTTTTCTCTGTAGGTCTTCAGGGGACATTCTCAACCTGGAACTTCACAGGGTCTTGTTGTATTATACATC